GATAGAAATTTTGAAAATACACTCAACATCTCTATAATGGAAAATGAATACAAACCACACAAATACAAAGCCAAAATCATGTGACTTTCAATGGTCTCATCAAAGATTTTGCATTTTTACATATTATGTGAATGTATTTACCACCAGAGGAGGGGGGAAAAAACCAAAACTACTCAGGGTGAGCCATTTGTAGAGTTGATGTAGGCAAATTCGGCATGACTAACTTTGAATCTTCTACATTATTTTATTAGAAATTTCTGCTGGGTGAGACACCTTGGAGACTGTGAGCAAGTTGGGGAAAGACTTTTTAATAGAATTCTGAACAGGGGCTGGCTGTTGTAAGAGACTTCCTTCTATACACACAAAAAATAACCATTATGTTGTCCTCCTATTATTATATTTTTTACAGTAAAATATTTTACTGTAAGTTTTTTCAGTAAAATATATTTTTTACTTTAAAATATTATATATTTTACAGTTTGACTGTAAAATACTACTTTATCTTATGTTTCAGACAAAGAGATGTTTAATGTAGATGGTGGCCAGTTCTTTACATCTGTCATTTTGTAAATGTAACACTTTTTGAGATACAGATTTCTTTCTTCTTAACCAATTTTGGGTATTTTTAACGGTTTAAACAAACAGTAGTTTTTGTATCAAATGGTGTGGTGTGCCTCCTCATATACCTTAGGGAAAGAACAAAGTCATAGCTCTTGAAAATGAAGTAGGTAAATCCCAAGGCAAGTTTGTAGAAGCCAATTTAACGAACATCATAATGTTATATATGTTCTTTAGAGAACATTTTCTTGAGTTAATTAGAAAATGTAAAGTCACCTATGAAGTGTTGATGGACTAAATGGTAGCTACCTTAAGCTGCAACTTTTCTGAAATTGGTTTTACTCAGTTCAGACTAATTTGGAGCAAAAATACAGTATCTATTAAATAGACTTAGAGGTACTTTGTCAAAAGGGCTGTGTAGTGACTATATTCAGTATTCTTTATACATACAAAACTCATAGCAGCACATGCAGAGTATACATGGCAGATACTTTTTATGTCTGAACACTGTATAGAATGGACCACAAGTAATAGTTTGGGGTGAGTGGAGCAAGAGGTTTTATCTGTCTTGGTTTTGATATGTTTTATATTATTACTCCTTTTAGTACAGCTTTTACTTGGGTGCAATTATTTCAAGAAATGCCAAAGCAAATATGGGAATGAAAGCTGTTGGGGTGTTTTCATTAGTGTTGTTTTTGTCAGTCTTGGGCCGAATTGCTCTTTGTTTTGTGGCACCATTCAGCTTTTTGCAATTTGTTTTTTTTTTTTTTATCATGTGTCAACCAGGCATGGTATGGGGTTTCTGTCCCAATCAACTTTAGAAAATATTATTTGAAGTCTTTCTATTTATAGCTTATAGATCAACCTTCTACAGTATCAGGAGAGAAGAGTAAGTTGATTGAGTGAAGAGCTTGGTAATTAAACCTAGGAGTGATTCTGTAAATGAAATTCACATAAAGTTAGGAAAAGTGTTAAGCAAGAATAGGAATCAAGAATTGAATTTGTCTGGGATCACTTGATAGAGGTCTAAGAATGCTGTGTTGATTATGCTTCTGTAAACCAGACACTGAAAGGACTCAACTTTACCAGCTTTAGTGTTGTAAGGATTCCTTTTCTGTGTTAGTGATGTTCCTTTTGACTCTGCTTTCTCTGTGCACAGCCCAGGATGTTCAAAACTTACAGCAACACATAAGCAAAACTGAGGTTTCTACTGTTGTAGTGAGGTTAATCTACAACCACGGCTGGATATATTTGAAAAATATTTAACACCTCCTACACTGTGAAGAAGGCAACAAATTTGTTTAAAATAAGTGCTCCCCCCACATTTTTAGTGATTTTTTTTTTCCTGATGTTGGCATGGTTAAATTTTGTGGCTTCTATTGTCGGATAAATGTATCCTTTTCCTTTAAGCAATGGAAGTTTTCTTATCTTCACATAATAGAACTGAAAGTAAAGTTTTAAAATAAATGAACCCCAAAATTTAGATTGTGAGCCTTAAAATAGAGCAGACTCTAAAGTCTAATACTGTTGAAGTGTATAAACCCAACTCTGAGAGAAAGTGGTAGATTTCCACCACCAGTTCATATATTGACATTGTTACTATCATAATATATGACAAATAAATGTTTGTCTTTTCTTCTTGCAAGTTTTAGTTCTAGCTATTAAAATTCTGACTGTGAAAGTTGATAGAAACTTATACGTATGAGTCCCTATAAGTCTCTCAGTTCCTGAAAAATCCAACCATTAAACTTGACTTTGTAGGTGTTTCAAATAAAAGCAAAGCTAGTACTTCAGCTGACAAAATGACTCCTGAAAAGCTGGTAAATCAAATGCACTGATGCCTCAAAAGTGAGGGAAAGTGTGGTCAATTTGAGCTGAGTGACTACAGAGCAACAGAAGTTCTTATACGTTGTCAGAAGGATGGGATACCAGAGCTGTGGTTATTTTACATGTGCAGCATAATTGTAGAAGTGTGAGTTTAAAAAGTGAGATAACTGGCTGCTCATTTAAATGGATTTATAATCTCTCTTTTTCTTAACTGTTTTTCTTTGCTTAACAGTTTAAATTAAAGACAGTGCATGACTGGGTTTTGTATATCATAATAAATAAACTTTCCCCCCCTCCAGGATCATTTTTGGATTAAACCAGTACTGCATCTAATTAAATAATGTTCTGAATGTAGATTAATTACTTCATATTTCTTAAGTGGTGCCCACCCCTCATAAGCCTGTCAAGTATAAATTGCCCTAAAATATTAAAGAAAAAGGATTGCCAACATGAATAATTAATTACAGTTTTTATATTCAGTAATCATCTTCTGATGATGCTATTGCTTCTTTTATTATTTTCTCCTGATCTACCCATCACAGAAGTATCTTATCAGAAAGAGGAGATAAGTTTTATTATTTTAAGAGTAACTTGCAAATTGTCAATGCTATCAGCAAGGAGGATCCTAATAGTGCTGACATAGTATGCAGAAATACTCTTTCTGCACAGAAATACTCTTCTGTGCTTTTCTAGCACAGTTACCAGAAGAAATTTTCCATGCAACTGTACAGTGTTTTCAATAACTTCCTCAGCTTTTTCTGGTGAGGTGGTTAGTCTCAATTACTCCTTCCTATAAGACCTATTTTGAATTGGAGTTGTAGTAGTACATACTGAGACACAGCAATCCTGCTTCCTTACCTTACTCTATCAGCTTCCATCATCTTTCTGCATATTTTCCTCCTTGTTGGTTTAGATGACCTTAAAAAGGTCCCCTCCAACTGACCTATTCTATGATACTGTGATTCTACTTTTTCCTGTGGTTAAGGATACAGATTATCAAAACAATGAAAGACACTTGCCAGAGGCAAAAAGGCAATTCTTTGATAATTGTCCTCTTCCAGACTATGTGTTAGGAATTGGGAGCAAAGACAAGACACTTGTTTTTAAAAACCCAGCCATCCATTTCTTAACAAAAGCAGAATTAAGAATTCCAGGACTTTATTTGCTTGTACATTTTTAGGTTTTAAGTTTGCAAACCTTCTGTGTTACTGTTATAATAGCAGCCAAGATACCAAGCAAAACCAGAGTGGTGCTGTTCCTTCTGCACTGAGGAGAGGGGAGGTGGGATGGGGTGAAGGGAAGTAAGAGAGGTGGAGCAGGATTCTGCATCTCAAGAAGAAAGGTATGACAACAACTGGCTTCACAGGATAACTGTTTCAATTAGGTGGAATAAGAGGAAGTCACCTTCAAGTGCTGGGCTGTCTGCATTAATGTGGCATCAGGCAGTGCCCTGGTAGATTTTGCCATGGCATGCTGGGTGGAACACATCCTGTCCCTGGTGAGAAGCTCTCCCCTTTGGTCATTCCAGTTAGTATGTATCATTTTTTTACAAGAGAACAACTCTACTTCTAACAAGAGTTCTTTTCCCGTGAGAATTTCATGCTTCACTTGCAACCAAAGGCAAGGCCATACAGGTGGCAGAGTCGACATCACCACGGGGGGTGATGCTGGGGTTTGTCCTGCAGCCAGGGGACACAGCACAGCACGGACCTACTTCCTAAACATCCAACACTCTTCCAGTCAGCAACATCACCTCCTGAAATGCAATGTCTTCTTCAACATCATCCTAATCATTATTTCAATTTTGCTTTTCTGTTATAAAATCAAAGCAGTCCAAAAGAGCTCCTAGTTTGTGTTTGGTCATTCTTTCTGGTGAAGGGAAGCTTTATGAGCTTTCAAATGAAATGATGGTCCCTTTTCATGTCCTCTTATAAAATAGTGGAAACCAAATGTGGAGAGTAAAACCAACAGTAATACTTTGCTTTAGCATTAGAATGATGAAGGATAACAGAGACACTGAAAAGCAGCAGAAGAAACCCAGCAATTTCAATTTCACTTTTTCCTCTTTTTGACCCAAAAGCTGTCCTGTGCTTTCTTGTGTTTTTTGTGGTTCTGGTCTATATGACATTGGTAAGGACTTCACAGAGTGTAGAAAAGAAGATGAAATTAAGATATTAAAATTGGCCTATTAAATTGTTTGCCAAGTTAAACAAATCACAGTTCTCATCTTCATAGCATTACACTGCATGTCTATCTAAATTTATGAGAACACGGAAAGGAAATAGCAATGACAGGGGAAATTAGGGACCCTAACAGTAATCCATTTGGGAAGGCTTTTTCTCCCATTACTTACATAAAGCCTGTATATATCCTCACCTTTCAGCTCTTGCTCATGAACATCACTCCTGTGTCTGGCATGTTTGGTTCACTGTCCCTCTACAAATCCTCTCAGTGAACAGAGTCATTCTTCCCTCTCTCGACTTGCATTGTGTATTTGTGTGTCCTTTAAATTAAGTTTCTGCGTGGTGCACTATTTCATTCCCCACACTGGTTTGCCCAGGAGGTGTTCTGTGAGTTATGTGTGACTGCCTGCATATGTTGTGGTTGTTTTACAGGTGGTGATTCGTGCTCAGAACGGCGCCCTCCTCTATCGTATTTCACCTTGGGCCAGATATGTGGTCCGTGAAGAAGACAAAGTGAACTATGATTGGGTGCACTGGAATCCACCACAGTCATATATAGTAAGGCTTAAATATTATTTTCAAGAGGTGTATTGTGTCATCTTTGTATCCCTGTTTGGAAGAAAGTAAGAGTTATTTCACAAAAGGGAGATTGCAAACTAGTTAAAGTAGCTACCTGAGAAGTGAAGGGGTTTTATTCATGGCTCTGACAGAAACAGGTGACTTTGGTGATGGATGTTTTTGAGCTACTTTTTTTTCATTCTTCTGTAGAATATATTAAAAATAGTTACCTGTTAAAGTAGTATTTTAAACTTGGTTTCCCACTTGTTAGGCAAGATTGACAACTGTTCCATGACTCAGTGTCCCTTCCTGGTACAGAGAAGAGCAGGGAATTACCAGTACTGGATTTAAGAGTTAGCAATCTGCAAATGCTAAGTTCAGTACTCAATAATAAGTCAATGTTGTATGAAGTCAGAAGAAAGCCTTCAAAAGTGCTCCAGTCAAAAAGCTCATGCTCCAGTCAAATCCTAGTTTGCTGGTATCAGGAAAATCCATTTATTGAGTTTAAAGCCCTCTTACTTCTCACGTGCTGCTATAAGAGAGAGAACTCTTTAGCTGATATATGAAAAATACCCTCAGAGAACATTTGGAAACTTCAGACCATCCAAGTGATGTTACTTCATATCACAATTCTTGATGTTTTTTACAAGGGTATGCAGTGTTCTGTGTAAGAGAAGCTGCAACCTCTGTTTTGAATTAAATTTGAGCACCCACCTGAAATTGTGAAGCAGCTGCTTGACCGAGAAAGGGTTACTCACATGGCAAATATTTTCTTAAAAAAATAGAAAACATAATATACAGTAATTCTTATTTAAATGTATAGTTTTTATCAGTGTAGTGACCTACAATGTCTATGATTCTTTGTGACACCTCCATCCTCTGTAAGAAAAGGAATGGAGAGGGAATTGGAAATGCAGTGATTGACATGACCTGGAGTGAAAAGGAGGCAAGAACATTTGGGTGCAGACAGGGCTTTACTGCAAAAATACAGAATCCCTTTATGAATAGGGGAGGTGCCCAGTGGAAGTAAAACACAGGCAACACACCTCAACCAAAAGTTTTGTTCTTCTCCTTGTCCCTTTAATTTCTGTTTGTATATATATGGTTTTAATTTTTTTCCCCTACCTTTTCGAGATTTCACTTGAATAATAAACTAACGTATAGAATATAAAATCTTGCAACTTTTTCTTAATTGTGAGAGGGAGGAAAAGAAACGTCTTTTGGGGAAAAATAAGTTTTAAGCATTACTTTTCTGGAGTGGTTTTCCAAAGTTTCTCAGACTTTCTCAGTTTGTTTTAAAAAGTAAAATCCTGATCAAGTACAAGCTCTTCAAGTGTAAGGAGGAGATTTTGTGATTAACTTCAATTACTTCTGTATTCTTTAAATATTTTCTCCTATCTGGAAATTCTGTGTACTCATCTACAGACTTGGGATTTTTTAATTATTTCTTAGTCCTAGGTAATTGAAATATAGGTTACTCTGTGCTATGGAACTGTATTCTTTAGGAAAAAAATGTTTATAAATTTCAGTTTGGAGGAGGCAGGACAACTTCAAAGACCTGCAAAAAGCAGGTTTGCTTGAAAAATAAAAGCTTACCTTTCTATTTTTCTCTTTTATTTTCAAACAGGCTTCATAGTAATTCAGAAGAACTCTTAAGTGCAATGTTTACTATCAGTTTGTACACTTTAATGTAATTAAAAAAGGGTATAAGAAAAGTGTTGAATCAGGAATGTCCACTTTCTTGTTCATAAAAATGTTAATTTGAAAGAGACATTTGCTTTAACAGTTTAAAATGCTTAATTACTTTTGAAATGTTTCTGCTCTTAGAGAGAAAAAAACAAAAGAAACCTTAAATTGCTTTTCATTTTGTGCAAATCATGTGATTGTGACAACACTCCTAAGCTGTTCCTAATGACAACTTGTTTGTTTTTTCTCTCCTTATAGCATAAGCATCCTTCCCCCAAGAGATTAAAAAGCCTAAGAATCTATGAATCTCACGTGGGGATTGCTTCCCCAGAAGGGAAAGTAGCTTCTTATAAAAACTTCACACACAATGTACTACCTAGAATAAAGGATCTTGGTAAGTAACAGAGATTTATGTACTTGTGCTCTTGTTAGAAAAGAGAACTGTCAAGTATTTACAGTTGTGTTTTCTGATTACACATACTATAAAAATAGATTCTTAGGTGAGCAAAAGTTAGAAACAAGTCAAATCTATGGAGAAGAAACAAAGACTGGAATAAGATATGTGAATCAAAATCCACTTCTCAGGTTTTGAAGTAAAATGTGATTGCTAAAGCCTAGATAAATATTGCAGGGCAGTTTGCTTGAAAAAGGAGCTGGTTTTGTGAGAAAGTCTTCAGAAAATACTACATTCTAAAATGGCTCTACTAATGTAAAGCTTGATTCTAAGGAGAGGGCAAGAAGTACATGGATTTAGTTTGTTTGTTTGTTTGCCAGAATAAGCAATGTAGATTTGTTTGTTTGTTTGTTTTTAATCCGTCAACAGTAGCTATGAAGTATCAGAACATGGAAACTTTAAATGTGAAAAATATTCTTCAGGAAAAAAAAAACTTCTAGTATATTGGAGAGGACATATGAAACAGCTGGCACCATTGTCTCAGGAAGCATAGCAAAACTGTTCTACTCAATTTCTCTTGGGTTATTTTTTCCCCATGGTGTCTTTGCACTGTGTCTGTAGTGGACAGTGTTAGAGCCTCCTGGCTTTTACTGCCTTGTGGTGAAATATGTTTTCTTACACTCAGCTGTAAAATAAACGTGACACCCCTAGTTGAAATCTCTGTGTATGGTGGTTGTGTTTGTACTTGATTTTTTTTTTAATTTTATTTATCAGAGTCCCTGAATAAGCCATATGTTTTCGTGTAGGTTTACCTGTTAGATCAGTGTTTCACAGAATTTGGCTTTTGCCCTTGGATAAAGTTAAGCTTGCAGGTGGGATGAGGGACATCTACATGTCTGGGGGCCCTCAACAAAAAGTAAACTTGGATTCAGCATTATGTATCTGTGACTCCTTACTGCCAAGGAATTCCAGTTGTTCCAGGAGGTTAATATGATTTACAGAATTAGGAAAGCATTCTGCTTTACCTACAAATTTCTCTTTGTACAGAAATGTCATGAAAAGGCTGATACGCCTCAAAATAAAAGCAGTATCAAAATTAGATAGCTAGTGTTCCTTCTTATTTACATTAAGTAGACATTGTGGGAGTTAAGTATTTTTAAAGGTATTTTTAAGGTCTGTTAGATTCAGTTTTGGAATGTCTTACTTGTTAGGATAAGTTTTTAAAGACATTTACTATATAAGAATTGTAATATATTAATAGTTTGTAAAAATATGTGCATGCCAAATAGTGAAATAAATAGCAAGCAAATTGAATGAGATTAATTTGATGCTGTGTTGCTGTTTAGTTATAAAAATGCTGTAAATAAGAATAAGTACAATGAGCCTGAATTATAAACCAGCAGTGAATCTGACAAATTGTTGAGTTCATGCCAATTGTCTTCTAATAGTAGCTCTGTTTTTAAATGTCATAGGTATAAAAAAACCCCAAGAACAATAAAAAAACCCACAGCATCTTGTCTAAACTAAAGAATGAAGATTTCGTTCAGACTGAGTGGTGGTAGTGTGAGTTTTGACAGCCTGTAGATAAAAGCTGAAAGTTATCTGTTGTTGGTAGTACTCACCTGGTAGTTATCTGTGACACTTATTCACTGATATTCAAGATTGCCTTGGTTAAGGATGTGTGGCAAGCCCTGTGGCCATGGAGAAGATCAGGTGATCAGGTTGGATCAGCTCTCTTGAGAAGACAGGCTGAGAGTTGAGTTTGTTCAGCCTGGAGAAGGCTTCAGGGAGACCTTATAGGAGCCTCCCAATACTGGAAGAGGGCCTACAAGAAAGCTGGAGTGGGAGACTTCATCACTCCCTACAACTCCCTGGAAGGAGGTTGGATCCTGGTGGGGGTCGGTCTCTTCTCCCGGGCAACCAACAGCAGGACAAGAGGGCTCGATCTTAAACTGTGCCAGGGGAGGTTTAGGTTGGACATTAGGAAGAAATTTTTTACAGAGAGAGTGATCAGCCATTGGAATGGGCTACCCAGGGAGGTGGTGGATTCTCCATCTCTGGAGGTTTTTAAGATGAGACTGGATGTGGCATCAGTGCCATGGGCTGGTAAACCACGGCAGGGTTGGATCAAGGGTTGGACTTGATGATCTCATAGGTCTTTTCCAACCTGATTGATTCTATGATTCTATGACTTTTTGGAAGGTCATGCAGTGACAGGGCAAGGGGGAATGGCTTTAAACTGAAGGAGGATATGTTTAGTTTGGGTATTAGGAAGAAATTCTTTACTGTGAGGGTGGTGCAGGTTGCCCTGAGAAGTTGTAGATGCCCCATCCCTGGAAGGGGTTTGAGCAACCTGGTCTAGTGGAAGGTGTCCCTGCTCATGGCAGAGGAGTTGAACTGGATGATCTTTTAAGGTCCCTTCCAACAGAAACTATTCTGTGATTCTATCACAGCGTGTGCAGCCAGTGAATAACTCCACACCCAATGACTGCAAGTGTCAAAAGTGAAGCAGAAGTTCAGGATGTGCAGATTGGCATAGCTAATATTCTGAAGTTAAATAAAGGTTATACTCATCACTTATTTCTTTATACCCCGGGGAGTTTCAATATTCCTAGTTATGTGTAGATCACTTGACAAATTGACTGTTTCTTTTCTAATGGAAGATCATGTAAGTATAAAGTATTAGGTAGAATTGCCTCCTGAAAGTTACTGGATCTTTAGTGGTAAATCACTAGAGTCAAAGGCAACTAAAAGGGGAGAAGACTGAAATGAATGTTGCAGGTGTTGAATCCTCTTTTAATTATCCTTAAGGGATAATTTTTTTGTTATATTTCTTTTTTTTTTTAATAGGGTATAACTGTGTCCAGCTGATGGCTATTATGGAACATGCATACTATGCCAGTTTTGGTTATCAGGTCACGAGTTTCTTTGCAGCATCAAGGTAGGTTTAAGTACTTCAGCATCTGTTCTTTTACCTTCTTTCCCATCCACTGAAATCAGTATCTCTGTATGTGTGTTTGCAAGGGAGTGTTTAATGGAAAGTAATGGCTTAGGTATTTGCTCAGGCTTACTCTTAAATCTGAAATCAATTTGGCACAGTGATCAGCTGCTCTGTGAAACACTTTGTGTGGGATACAAACAAAAAGATTATAAGTAACTTCAGCTGTCATAGCATATTCTGGGTAATCCACCTTCAGCAGTCTTTATGCATGGGTTTTGTGCTGTGGAATTCTTGGCAGTAGCAAACAGGATGTGTAGGGCATTCTTTTCTGACAAACAGAACTATACACTGCTTGCTCCTAATGCACTTGATTAAAATCATGGCTCTGTGTGTTCTGTAGGAACTTCTTCCTGGGCTTGTAACAGGCTGTGCTTAGGTTTGAGGCCTTGGGTGAAAATTGCTGATAAATAAGAATTCACGTTCGATATTAAATAGAAGTTTAAAGTTGCATCAGTTTTTATACTGAATTTGATGTGTTAATAGATTAAAACGGAAGACTAAAACAACCTCTTTCTGCAAGACACTTTTATAATGAAAAATTGCTTAAGTAGTAGCTACCACTTACAAACTAACATTTTAAGAGGCTGAAAAAAATAACCTGTGTACAACTGGTGATGAAGGACTGCTGGCTTCGATGTAGTTTGCTTGATGAGTGTTGGGCATTGGCAGCGTAAGTCCCGATTTGTACAGCTCCTGACACGTCCCGTTTTGCTGCCGCAGCCGCTACGGAACTCCGGATGACCTGAAGGAAATGATTGACGTCGCTCACTCCATGGGCATCACGGTGCTGCTGGACGTGGTGCACAGCCACGCCTCCAAAAACTCGGAGGATGGGCTCAACCAGTTCGATGGGACGGATTCCTGCTTCTTCCATTCCGGTTACAGAGGGAACCACCAGCTCTGGGACAGCAGGCTCTTTGACTATGCAAAGTAGGTATAAAATGGCACTTCAGCTGTGGTAGTGGTCGTTATTTCCTACCAGTTCTATTAAAACTACGCTATTTGCCAAACAAAGTCAGTTGAGTTGTTCAACAGTTACAATATGTGGAATTAAATTCCTCTACTTGTCTAAACACCTGAAATCTAACACTAAATGACAGTGTTGAGGTTTCATTATTCCTCTGGCATCTATGTCATCAATATGTGCATATTATGCACCATGTGCATTGTATGTATATATGTATGTATATATTATGTAAGTATAGTATATACTTACATAATGGTGTAGGTATATATTATATATTTTTAATTTTACATTATTTATACGTATAGATGCCTATTTAAATATTTAAAATATATGAACATGTATTATATAATAATATAATTGTACGCTTTATTTATGCATTATAAAATAGATTTGTATTTTCATATTATATGTAATATGCTTTTATATAAAAATAAAAGGATGAGAAGAGCTGAAGAAAAACTTGTAAGTTCTGGAAACTTATTGTCAGGTTGTTGAAATACAGGAAAAGTTTCCCCCTAGGACAATTAGCTCCATTCCAAAGAGCTTCCAGAGGTCAATCAACAGTTAATACAGAGCAGGGGTCGTGTTCAGTAGACAGTTTGAGATCCAGTTTGGACACACTTAATTACCTGGTATAAATATAGTGTGTGTCAATATGCCTATTAAACCCAGATGATTATTAACATTTAATATTGTTTACTGTGTATTCTCTGAGGTATTGAGGCTGAGGAGACTGATGTTGTATGCTGAATATTTCAGTGGTTTAAAAGGGGAAACAGACACAGGCAGCCAGCTTGTTTCAGTCTTCTCACATTTTTACGTGTTTGTTCATCCCTGAACCACCTTCATTCCTCCCTTTCCTTGTCTTTGATTCTTCCCTGAAACATTCCACAATGTTTTGCATAACTTCACAATCTCCTTAAAGCATGCCTTAATAAATTCTATACAGCATCCCTCACTTATTCCAGGATAAATTCTCTTATTTTTTTTCCCCCCTTGAGATGCATGATAATCTGGTTTGACCTTTTTATCAATTGCAAAGTTCTGGTTTAACCCTTTAAAGGTTACACTGGAGTGGTTCCTGTAGTGGCTCAATCACTGAGCATCTGTGGAGTTCTGGTCTCTTGTTATTCTGTCAGTTGTTAGGTTTTGTGTGCTGCAAGTTTCTCCCATTTTTCTCCCTCACTTGCACTGAATTGCCATGGACTGGATATGTCTAACGTTGCACTATTGCAGAAGCCATGGCATGGGCCAGTCATGTAATGGAAACTCCTGCAGGGTAACTGAGTTTGAAATAAACCAGGTGACCAGTGTGAAAAGTGCTCTTTTTGTGGTCTATAGTGCATCCTAGGCACTGTATTAGTTGATGGGATGAGCTGTTCTTTATTTACTTGGGACAATTTAACAGAATAATTCAGGGGGACTTTCTGAATTGGGATTTTAATTATTATAAAAAATGCATTTCAGTATGTTTAATAATTTTCTGAGTTGCTTCCTGTTAATCTTTTAAGTTCATATTCCACTAAATTGTATTGTGAACTGTTTCTAGTCATTAAGGGCTTCTTTCCTCATAATATCTGAAACACTAAATATTTTGTGTGTGTTTATAGTAAAATTTTAAGGCTTAAAATGTATAACCATCATGTTTATTTTAAGTTACTCAAACCCGATTAAAAAATAGTTTGATTTTTTTTTCCTGGGGTTTCGTGTGTGCAAGTCCCAAGCAAAATTGTGAATCAGAACTGACACTTGATTGCAAATGTTATTTATTTTTTTTCCATTTAGACTGTATTGACATGCTGCTGATTTCCACACCAGTGAATGAGCAGCTCTAGTCTGGAAGAGGGGAGTGTAAAAATCTGAGAGAGACTCAAGTTGCTGGCAGGTGTTGCAAATTTGCTGAAAATAGAGGACACCAAACACAGTCTCTTGAATGGTCTACAGAAAAGCTTACTTGCTGAGAGAAATTTCTCGAGCTAATAGAGGCTTCTGTCCTGTACAGTGCTTGTACTAAATCCCTTTCCTTCTGTGGTGGGAAGAACTGTTAAATCCACAGGTACTTAAACATCAAATGCCAAGAATGCTCAATTCACTTTGGAATTGAGAGAAACTAATTCTCTGCCACGAAAGAGATTAAGGAACAATTGCTTTATCAGTTTAGTCTGTCTACATTTTCTTTGAAAGCCAAGATGTAAGTAAATTTATCTCGCAGCATTTGCAAGATTATTCAGCTGTCTGCAAAGGGGACTGTGAATACTAACTGTAACAGAATGTGACAAAAAATCTATATCCATGCAAAAAAAAAAGTATTATATGCCTGATGTATTTTAAATACTATTTTATAGTAAACTTTATATAAATTGAGATTAGATCCAAGCAAAGCAACAGTAAAACTGTTCAAAGGACAGCTTGGATTTTTTATCTTGCACTATAGTGCTACTTAAAAAGGTGAAAGCATGTTTTTGTATTTAATTTTTTTCATCTGTGCTCATACAAGTGGTGTATAAACAGGGAGCTTTTCTGGAAGTTTTGAGCAGCAGCTTAAAATTTGCTGTTCACGGTGTCACAGGAGAATAAAACCTTGATTTCATTGAAATGAGAATTTGCAGGTAAGAAAAATGGACAACTAAAAGAATATTTTCTGCTTAACTCTATTCAAGAAAAATGCTATAAATTGTGCTTTAAAATCAACCAAAATATACAGAAATAAACTTTTACTTTCATATTTTCCATAATTTTTGCGCATTTTTGAATTTTTCTAAAATCTGGATCCTGAGTGTTTTTTTTTTTCCCCTCAAATGCCAGTTTGGTGAATCTTAGTCTCCTTCATCTCAATCCCTTTCTGGCTATGTCTGTGTCCATCCCCCAGCCCTTCCCTCCCTCAGCAACCAACCAAAAACCAAAATCACAAAGCTTGACTGAGAATTGCAGTTGATTTCTTTTTTTTTTTTTTTTTTTTATTACCACAGGCTCTGGACCTGTACTCTAGTTGGCACTGTCTAGTTAATTTTGTAGTAAATCAATTGTCTCTATTATGTTCCTGTTTGCTTAAAATACCTGCAAAACACCCTCCCACCTTAAGCAAGGATTCTGCTCGTAATTAATTTTACAAAAGCTAACTAGAACAATTTTTTCTTACTAAAATCATATTCAAAGGTTATTCAGCTGCCAAGTTCATTAAAAGTGATGCTGTAGACTCTGGAGACCAGGTGGGATCACAACTAGAGTGGTTGATTGTGTTTTGATTTAAATTCATTTCTCTAAATAGCAAATGTGTCTAAAATACTAATCAGGTAAAACAATTTAAAAATAATTGAGAACAAGATATTACCTAGCAAAGATAAGAGTTTGCTTTTTTTTTTCCTCCCAAGTGCTATGTAAATAGAATGTCTAAATGATGCTGCCCTTCTAGACTTACTGAGGTCTGAATGTATTGTTTTTATTTTTAAGTCTCTTCCTGTTTTCTCCTTAGACTTTGTTAGATCCTCTTCTGTCCTAATCCAATTATAAATGTCAATAGGTACACTGATATATATTTCTGTGAGCCTTTAGGAATAGTAGTAGAAGTAAAACTCAGAACTCATGTGATGCCTTGAATTTTGTTTGGTTTGTGGGTTTTTTGGGGGAGGGGGTGGTTTGTTTAGTTGTTTTGTTTTTTTTTTTTTTAATACTATGACCCTTTTCAACTGAGCACTTAGCCAAAATTTTAAGTTCTTGCACATTCTAAGAGGTAAATTTGGCACAAAAGTCAGAAGTTGATTTACATTCTGGTTTTATTTTTGATTAGTACAGCTTTCTTGAGTGCAGCAGTATGATCAGTAAGAGATGATGTTGGTTACAAGGTTTTGGGGCCAGCAGGTGTCCTGGCATCTCCTTTGGGGCTTTTTGGTGCCTTGCTTTCAAGGCTTTTTTTTAGATTGGATTGTGTGTCCATACCCTGGGGTTTAAAAATCATAACTAAGCTATATAGTGGGAGAAATCTCTGCTTTTATTTAGCCTTTCCTTCCTCCTTCAGTTTTATGAAGTGTCAAGTGATGTCCCTGCCAAGTGTGCTTTGAAACGGGTTTAGAGTATAAATGTTTTGTCCCTCAAGCCACGATTTTTACATCAGGGCAACAGATGACTTGCTAGTCCCCTGCTGCCTAACCAGATGTTCTCTCCAGCTCACTCCTCTAAACTGTTGGGGGAACAGGTGATCGTAGCTCTGTCCTTCTTTTTTTTTTTAAATAGTTTTTCTTAAGGTGGGTTATAAAGTACCATAGCTCAGAAACTGCTTTTAACCCCCCTTTCAGTGCAGCAGAAATAGGGCAGCTGTTAGGTGCTGAAGCACACGTGTTAGTTCTGGTTAAGGTGGCCTCTTGCCCAGTGTGGCAATGGATTTGAGAGTGGTGTGGGTCACCTGGGGCTTTTCTTCCCTGTCCCGTGGCCCGGCCCCATGGGGGTATCTTGGCTGCTCTCTTGCAGGCAGAATGACACAGTGCTCCTATGTTTGGTTGCTGAGACTCTGGCCTCTTCTGCCACCCAGTGTTTAAATCCTTCATTGACCTCATGCTGTATTTTAAGGGGAAGAAAAGGTCCTCTGATGTCCTCTTCACTTTGGGATCTGACTCCTTAAAGACGTGTCGATCTTCCAACACCTTCAGCACCCCCTATTGAGGGCAGTGTTTAGTTTCTCCTTAAACAGCTGTTCTTCACCTGAATTGTTGTTCTTTCTTCTGATTGCCAACTTTCCACATCTTTATCTGCTGCTGATGAAACGTTATTAGTAGGTGGAAAGAATTGGAAAATACATCTTTCAGGGTTTGGTGTTTGTTCAACAGGGCTGGGCTCATAATTCTCCTATAAGAATAGCTGTCCAGAATTTGTTTATGTTTTAAGCAGCCTACAATTCAACGATGACCTCTTCTAAATATCTGTGGAAGTGAAAGCTTGTTGCCTTATTTGGGAGCATCCCCGTGGATTG